GGCGCGCTGCTGCCGCTGCGTGCGGACAGCGCGGCTACGACCGGTCCTTGCCGGCCGTCCGGCAATTACATCCGAACAAACTGACTTCAATAAGCATGACATGAACATAAGAACACATAAATACTGAAAACATGAAGGTTCATGCAAAGGCTTGCCCTACGGCCGCGGCGGGCGCGCCATGCACCGCCGAGGGCGTCGTGCCGTTTAGCGACCGAATCATAAATATCCTCGGCAATTCTAACAAACTGAATATGTTTAATAATCTACTGAATATATCACATGAGAATGCACGAGAATAACGAACTTAACATATCGAGCAAGTAAGTACGGCCCGTGGTGCGCTACGTACGCAACCACGTCACCCTTGGCCGTAACATCGCAAACGTGACTCATCCTCCGAACAATTCAAATATAACTGAACTTGAACATGACTTACTGAACAGATAACACATAATGATTAAAGGTTCGAACTTAACATGCAATAGCACTCGGGTGGTCCGTGGTGCGCACTAAGTGTGCGACCACACTCCTTCGGCCAAAACACTACCTCATGACTAAAATATCCGAACACTTTAAGCTAATATAAACATGATATTGCAAGTAAAAGTTAAACATGCAAGGATAGTTCGGAGAAAATAGCTCATAACATGACATGGACGACATGGCTACGGCTTAACACACATGACACGCGTGCATGCTACTAACGGGAAAATCGACTAAATAAACATGATAGGCTCGGTCAACAACCATCGGGAACTTACCTCTTATAAAGCTCAAGAGACTAATCTACTCGAACTCCCGCTCTCGGTCGTGCCCCTCCGCGTGCGTGCGTGGTCGTGTGGTAGCGTGCGGTGGCTACGGCGATGCGTGCGGCTCTCGGCAAAGGCTCTCGAATAATACTCCAAACCTCACTAACTCTCTCTATACTTTCGGCATAATGAAACTTAGGAGAAGAAAAATGGAACAACTTTCCCAAAGACTCTCACTAATAATGGCCGAATGCATGGGCTAAAGAGAGGGAGGGAATATGGTCAAGGCTTTGGACACATGACACTCATGCATTAAGGCATGGAACACTTGTCACACATGCTTCTCTCTTGCCTCATATATTCACGTGAACTTGCTACACGAAGAAGAAAGCTTGTGGACAAAAACCCACATAAATTGCACGGCATTTTAAGGAGACAAAGTGCACTAAAGGACAACACACACACTCACACGGCACAAGGACAAAAAGAGAGGAATCTTGGACCAAAGAGGCTAGCAAAGAGACAATGGGGGCGCACGGTCTCTTAGGGCAATGTTGGGGGAATCTATGCACAAAACACCATCATGCTACATGACATAAATGCACGGCTACTAACACATGATGCACACGGCATTTGCAAGAAAAATAGCACAATTGCTCACGGCTATTAACATGCTAATGGTGATTACTTAACACAATTTAAGGCTTAATCCAAAATTAAGCACAACGCTTAACTACCAAAATTATTTCAGACGTAAACAGTACGTCGAAAATAATTTCCGGTAATTCCGACTGAAATAACTGAAAATAATTAATTCCAAAAAATAATATCGGAACTAAAATATAATTTATACTGATAAAAAGTCGGGATATTACACTTTGTCAGAGGACCAACCATATCTAATCCCCAAGCATCAAAAGGCCATGAAGCGACAGTAGGGTGCAACGGCTCAGGAGGCTGATGGATCAAATTTGCATGAAATTGACACGCTTGACATCTTTGGGCATAAGCCATGCAGTTCCTAACCATTGTCGGCCAGTAGTATCCCATTCTCTTAATTTGAAAGTGCAGCTTCGGACCGGACTGATGAGCGCCACATATGCCCGAGTGAGCTTCTTCCATGGCTTGAGCAGCTTCTTCGTCGCCTAAGCATCTCAAGAACACTCCATCGAATGATCGTCTATATAACACATCATTGAAATAAATGAAGCGAGGCGCACGTCGTCGAACATCAATCCTTTGTCGTGGATCGTTGGGCAACTTGTCATACTTCAAGTAATCCACGAGCAATTGACGCCAATCTTCCTTTTCAATTTCAAATACTTCAACCACATGAATTTCATCTTCATTCCAATCATCATCGTCGACAAACGGAGGTATAACCCAACTTCTACAAATTTTCACTCGAGCCTTATCCTCGGGGAGAATTAGTGAAGAAGCGAGTTTTGCCAAAGCATCAGCTTGTTTATTATTCTTTCTCGACACATGTTCGATCGTATCATCTCCAAGCCATCCCATGAGCCTTTTCGCATAGTCGACATACGGGAGCAACTCAAGCTTCTTTACATCGTATTCTCCAAGCTTGGTTCACCACTAGCTTTGAATCGCCATAGACTTTCAGATGTAGTTGCTTCATGTCCACGACCATCTCCAACCCCAAAATTAGAGCTTGATACTCTGCAACATTGTTTGAGCAATTTTCAGTCAAAGTGAAGGAATACAGAAGCACCTCTCCATGGGATGTCACAAAGACGACTCCAGCACTAGCTCCTTCTCTATGGGACGCTCCATCAAAGTACATCTTCCAAGGTGGAGTAATTTCAATGAGAAGAACGTCTTCATCGGGTAGTTCATCGGACAACTCCCATTCAGCAGGAAGAGGGTGATCAGCTAAGAAGTCCGCCAGGACTTGTCCTTTTACAGCCTTTTGAGGGATGTAGACAATTTCAAACTGTTGAAGTTGAAGATACCACCTAGCTAAACGGTCTGAGAGGACGGGTCTTGTCATGACATATTTCAAAGGATTTGCCCTTGAAACAAGAGGAACCGTATGAGCTTGAAAATAATGCTTCAACTTTTGGATTGCAAAGATCAATGCCAAACATATTTTCTCAATCGGTGAATAGTTCAGCTCGTTCGGCGTCATCGTTCTGCTCAAATAATATAACGCACTCTCCTTTCCATCGTCATTTTCTTGAGCCAGCAAAGCTCCAACAGAGCGTTCTTGCGCCGCTATGTAGAGGATAAGAGGACGACCAGACACTGGTGCAACTAACACGGGAGACTTCATCAAATATGCCTTTATGCTTTCGAAAACATTTGTACAAGATTGATCCCACTCAAAAGGAACACCTTTCTTCATTAAATGACTAAAAGGTTTGCATCGTCCGGCTAGATTTGAAATGAACCTTCGAAGATACGCCAACTTTCCTTGCAGACTTTTAAGCTCGTGAATGTTGCGAGGCTCGGGCATTCTTAGTATCGCGTCGACTTTTGCTTGCTCGATCTCTATTCCACAGTGACGAACAATGAACCCAAGAAACTTCCCCCACTTGACACCAAATGCACACTTCAGTGGATTCATCTTGAGTTGATATCTTCTTAGGCGTTCAAAAACCATCCTTAAATCTTGTAAGTGGTCTTCTCGCTTCTTCGACTTTACCACCACATCATCAACATAGCATTCGATGTTCTTGTGGAGTATGTCATCAAACACTTTTTGCATTGCCCTTTGATATGTAGCTCCAGCGTTCTTCAAGCCGAATGGCATCACCTTGTAGCAGTATATACCCTTTGGAGTGCGAAATGCTGTCAACTCTTCGTCTTTTGGAGACATGCGTATTTGATTGTATCCTGACGAACCATCTATAAAAGACAACGCTTCGTGTCCAGTCGTAGCATCAATCATAAGCTCAGTTATAGGCAACGGGAAGTCGTCTTTTGGACACGCCTCGTTAAGATCTCGAAAATCCACGCAAACTTGAATTTGGCCATTTTTCTTCCTGACAGGAACGATACTCGAGATCCACGTAGGATATTTAACTTCACGAATGAATCCAACTTCAATGAGTTTATTTACTTCAGCCTCGATCAATGGGATCAACTCAGGTCGGAACCTCCGTTGTGCTTGTTTAACAGGTTTTGTCCCCTTTCTTACGGACAAGTTATGCACCGCCACCTTTGGGTCTAGTCCAGGCATCTCCTTATATGCCCATGCGAATACATCCTTAAACTCACCAAGAAGCTCTATGTGGGCCTTTTCTTCATCTACAGTTAGCAAGGCACTGATGTACGTCGGGCGAGGATCGTCAACATCACCCAAGTTGATTTCTTTTAGTTCATCGACCGTGGCCTTAACACCTTCTTCAAGCTCGGGAGGGTGCATCTTCAGCATCTTCCTCCTCTATTGGAGCATCCTCGCATATAGTGATAAGGTTCACAGGTGCAATATCTTCGGTCGGCTCACCAAGAGCTTTGAAGTCGATACATGCTCGCACCCGTCCATTTCTTCCCGTGACAAATCGTGTTTGCACATTTTCATCAACTCCAGCGATATACCTTTTTCGCACCAAATAAATTATCTTCCGGTAAAGAGAACGTTCATCATTTCGAGGAGTTGTGAGAGTACCGCAAGCATAATAAGACGAAGCAACACTTTCTCTATCATCATCTTCATCATCATGTACTCTTGTATGAACGATCGTGAGCATTTTTGCTTTTAAAACTTCACCACGTGATACGATCAAGGTAGTTTGACGTTTCATACATGACGGAATTAGACTTCTAAGCTTTGGAGCCGGGCCTACACTTTTTTCTTGTCTTAAAGGCTTCGACTGCTTTAAGGATCCCAGTCGTTGAAACACAGATTGTCTGCCTTTTGACTTTCGCACTGGACCGAGTCTTTGAAACACCGACGTTCTTTTCTCTTTATTTTTATCGTCAGAAGACGAGAGCTCTCCTTCCGAGATATGGTTGGCATTTGCTCTCTTGATGGCGATTCTAATTAGACTCGATGTCACATATCCAAGACCTGCCCGGTTGTGCTTTTGCTCTTGAGGTATGAGCTTTCCCAAAGAGCGACTTTCATTGGGATTGTATCCTGCTTTGACGAGAAGCTTGTAGGCTTTTGGATCAAAACACTTAGAGTTCTTCAATCCTTCACCATGCTCCGTCACAGCTCCTTTTCTTGGACGAACAAAGTTCATGGGTGGTTGGGAGATAGGTTTCTCGTCATCTACCTTCGGCAGCGGCAACACTAACTCTTTTAAAGAGTTTTCTACCTCTTCAATCTTTGATTCTTCACTTTTAGACCCTTTATGCTGCTTAGACGAGACTTTCTCAACTGGTTTTGCATCATTGAAATAGTATTTGGCATCAGCGAAATGAGTTTCAGCCTCCGTAAAAGGTTTATCATCACCAAGCACAGTCTTCACAACGCCATTTTTGCAATATTTGAAGCATTGATGCCATGTGGATGGAACCACGTCATTCTCATGAAGCCATGGACGACGAAGAAGCATATTGTAAGAAGTTTTTGCATCGATGACATGAAACATAGCAGTTGATTCCATATCTTCCATCAGCAACCTCAACCTTATGATGCCAAGAGCTCTTTGCCCCCCTTGGTTAAAGCCTTGAATCATCAGTCGACTATTACCAAGTTCTTCCGTAGTCATTCCAAACTCTTTCAGCGTGCGAAGAGACAAGATGTTGACTGCTGATCCTCCATCAATCAATATTCAATTAACCTTTTGCTCTTGCACATATCCGACCACGAACAAGGGTCTGTTGTGAGGCTTAGAAACAAGCAGCAGATCTTCATCAGTAAAGACCATCATGGAATCATTATCAATATGGTGATTTTCAACCTTAGGCAAATTGTTTTCTTCTAGCGGAGCTTCGTGCTCATTTGTCATATTGCAAGCTTCACTTATATGATTAGCAGTTGCACTACTTTCTTCCAGTAAGATTTTTCCTTGGCTTGTCAGCTGCATAACCTTGTCCTTGAATATGAAGCAATCATGAATTGGATGCCCTACAAGACGGTGGTATTTGCAATATTTTGGGTCGTTCACCCTGCCAGCTTCTTCAGGATGCTTCATCTCAGGTAACTCAATGAGTTTTGCTTCCATCAGATCGTCAAATATGCCAGAGACGTCTGAATCAAGGAATGGGTACTGCTTTGCTTGCATTTCTTTCAGAGTCAACCTTCTTTATTCAATTTCCTTAGGGACATCCTTTTTTTCAACGGCTTTATCAGCAGATTTTCCTTTGAACTTCACAGGCATAGCATTGATCGTCATGGACTCCTTATTTTGAGATTTCGAGGAAAACTTGCCCCCTTTCTTTTTCTCGTATCTATCCTTGGAGCTTTGGGGTTCTTGGATTGGAGGACCATTAGCCCCGCTTGCGGTCATGCTTAGCTCCATGTCGTGGGCTCGAGTCGCTAACTCTTCGAATGTTTTCGGCCAAATACCTTGAAGGATGTAACGAAGACCCCAACTCATACCTTGAATGCACATCTCAATGGCAGAAGCCTCAGACAGACGATCTTTGCAATTCAGACTTAAGTTTCTCCACCTATTGATGTAGTCGATGACTGGCTCCTCCTTCCATTGTCGAGATGTAGTGAGCTCAATCATGCTGACTGTATGTCTCGTGCTGTAAAAGCGACTAAGGAATTCGTGCTCCATTTGCTCCCAACTATCGATGGAGTTTGCTTCTAAATCAGTGTACCAATCGAATGCAACCCCTTTAAGTGAACGAACAAACTGCTTCACGAGATAATCACCATGGGTTCCCGCATCGTTGCATGTCTCGATAAAGTGGGCTATATGTTGCTTCGGGTTGCCTTTGCCATCAAATTGCTGGAACTTGGGAGGTTGATATCCAACAGGCATCCTCAAGTTATCGATCCTTGTTGAATATGGCTTGACGTAGCTGTGGGTTGACTTGGAACCACCATCAAGTTTGTCCTTAATTGTTCCGATGATGAAATCCTTCAGTTGATCAATGGGGATCATTCCCGTGGACGAGTGTTGGAATGGAGTCTTCTCTCTTTCTTCATATTGCTCTTGCTTGGATGTTTCAGACTCCTCACGATCTTCAGTTCGTTTTCTCTTTGCGTGGCTTGTTTCAGCATTGTCGACCTTGTCCATTAGCTTTGAGATTTGAGAGTCTTGCTCTTTGATCTTCTTCGCGAGCCCTTCAATAACCTTCGTTAAGCTTGCGATGTGCTCTTCAAGAGTTGAAGCATTGGTTGTCATAGCCGGAGCAATGCTCGAATTTGATGAAGATCTTGAAGATGAGTGAGGAGTTGAAGAAGCAGAGTCGTCTTCATCACCTTCGTGGGTAAGATACAGCTTATCACTTCCAATCACCTCGTGCAAAGGAGCCGTCTCCGAAGATGCTTGCAGTTGCTTGGCCATGCATCTTGTAACGACGCCGAGGTTGGAGCCTGAAGAACTTGTTGAAGGAATCTTAACTACGGCAATCTTGCGGCTAGTCATGATGATTTGAGGAACTTTGGAGAAGAGATGAGAGGTAGAGAAGTCCCACCGGGCGTGCCAAAAATTTGTAACAACAAATTTCGTGAATTGAATTTAAAAAAAACACGAAAAATATTATTCAAATGAATTTCTTGAATCAAAACAATATAGCGGGTTACAATCTCTATTATTCCTCTGATTCTTCTCACAAACAATATTTAAGTCTTAGAGCGAAATCTTCGGCTTGATCTTCTCCTTGACTTGATTTGACTTGAATTAACGTAATCCGAGGGCTTGAAAGCTTTTTCCCAGATCGAACGCAAAAATATCCCAAGAACGCGAAGAACACGAATCCTTGGTCTTCGCCGCAAAGTAGATCTCGAATCTTCTTCACGCCGGTTTTGAATTTTCTAACTTTATTCGAAGGCTTCGCAGCTTGTTTCCGGATTGAACGTTAGTCTTGAGGTTGAACGCACTTGAATCTTGCTTTAAATCTTCAAGAACGCCTTTGAATCTTCAAGAACACTTGAATCTCGTCGAGAGACCTTGATCTTGAACTTGAATATGAATGCAATTCGGAGGCTTGACAGCTTGTTTCCAGATTAAACGTCGGTTTTGAGCGTGAATGTGCTTGAATCTTCCTTCGAATCTTCAAGAACGGCTTTTAAACTCCAAGAACACTTGAAACTTGTAGAGAAAATTCTCTAGAGCTCTTGAACTTGAAAATATGATTATGAGATGTGTTTTTGACATTAGGGAGAGCCCCTATCTATAGGTGTAGGAGAGAGCACCCGACCAAATTTAAGAATCGTAGGACGCGATTTGATTGGTCCATGATGATTCACATAAGATCTTCAAGATCCACTTAAATCTTCCAAGATATTCTAGAACATATGATTTAGTTACCAAAAAGAATTAAAATATTAAAATATCAATTAATTAACTATTTAAATTTAGGAATTAAATATATGGAAATTCCTAAATTAAAAATAGGAAATATGATTTAATTTTTAATAAATTAAGTTCCACGTGGCGCCAATTGATTGGACAAAAATTTTATGTCTCTACAAGTTTATCAAATAAGTCTTGCTCCATACCTATAGAAGCCAATCCAAGGACACAAATAAAACTTCAACACCACCCCCTTAATACTACCTAGAAAACCAAACAAGCACACTCGAACCCAAAACCACAAAATAAAACACAAAAACCACAAATATTAATGATAGGGTGTAAATCAATTCACAACAAAGCAACTATAACAAGAACCAATAGAGAAGAGAACAAAAAGCCCACACAAACAAAGAACAATATGCGATACCCAATTAATCCATTCCAGCTAAATCAAAGGAAAGACAACATTAGCTATATAGAGTGAAACAACAAACCAAGAAATTAGCAATGGAGGGTAGACTTGATAAGAAGGAATGGGACTCCAAAATTAATCCCACCACAATCCAGCAAGTGGAAGCAATAAAAAGCCCAATTTGAAGTAATCCATCGGAAAAAAAACGCAAGAAAAACGAGGACAGCGGATACACACGATCAAAAAAAACCTAAAAGAGAACATAGGTTAGCAACAAAATGAGACGAAATCGATAGCATAACACTCAAGAGAGAGTAATAATAGCAAATCAGTCGCTGGAACTGAGAATCTCAAGAGAGAAATAAAACCCTAGAGAAGGACTTCGCATATGCTAAGTGTTAAATTAACATATATTCTAAAAGTCTTTCTACATGTGAAAGTATTTCTAGATTTGATGAGTCATTTTCGTCCCTTTAAAAAAAAAAAAAAATTATCATTTTACAATTCATAAATAATAAAAGCTAAATAACTATAACAATGTTTATATAAAGATCATTTTATTTACTTCATGTATCTAATATTTACTAAAAGACTAACTAAACTTGTAAAAAAATTACATATATAATAAGTCTGGTCACACAAAACTTCTCGACCGGCTGGAACTTGAATAATCGCCTTCCTTCTCACCGGTTGAACGTCGTGCACCTACAAAGAACTCTCACACCAGAGGGGTTTTCCGGTGAAGAGCCTCCGAAGCTTAAATCAGTGTATGTTCAATCAATTCTCAAGAGTCAGTAGTAGAATGATCGTGTTGAAGAAGAAAGGCTCACCCCCTTTATATAGGGGTGAGATACCTGACCTAGGGCTGCCCGGATTTGATGAGCTGTCTGCCCTAACTGCCCTTCCGTACACACCAAACGCGTGTGTCAGAGGTAGCCGTCGCCACTATCGCCTGCACCAATCCTCTTTGGACGCGTGTCCTCCTGCACATGGGGTAGGCTGTCAGAGGTGGTTATCGCTATCCACCACTGCCTTCCCGACACGTGTCCCCCTGCACATGGGGTAAATATTCCCCTGGAATTCCGTTAGAGGCTCTCTCACGCGCCTGTGACTAGGCCGATCAACATGGTGTTAAGTCCTCGAAGTAGTCGACCTGTTGAGGTCGAATGAGTTGTCCGATCATGTATCTGGTCGAATGATAGTTTGGTTGACAGCCTTACTTGGTCGACTAGTTAACTGCTCGATTTCCTTGACTTCCCCATAATACGACCTCCCCGACCGGTCAATAGACCGGTTCAGCCTAATGGGTATGATATCCCATATCATCTAGTCCCCCCCACTTTGGTCGAGTCTAAATGACTCGAACTAAGAGTGAATTGGTATTTATCGTCCTTTTGGATGGCTCGTCGTTAGATATCGATCAGCTGGCAAGCTTCCCGCTCGTTTTTCGAATAAATTCCCATTAATCACTAGAAATAAAGTTATCTGCTTTAAGTCCTTTCTGTCGCGCCCGTTTTCTGCCACGCGTCACGTCTGTCATATGTGTCAGGCACTTTAATTATTGCGCCTCCTCGCCTAACGCGTCTGTTTTGAGATCCGTGCAAGTTAATACCCCCCACCGTTGGATCTAACTTTAATCCGACAGCCCTTATCTTTCCACCCTTCAATCTTCCAAAGTATAAATTCCATACTTAGTGTATTTTCTAACTATTTCCACCCTCTCAATTTCCGAATTACTCTGCACCCAGAATTCTCTCTGCAAAAAACCCTTACTTTCTCGACGGTTTCTCCTGCGCTCTTTCGAACTTCCATCAATTATCGACCCACGGTTATGAGTAAGTCTCTTCACACTTGAATTTGTATTCTTTGTAGTTCTATTTTGTGTATTCTTGGATTTTCAATATTGGGTGCTCTTGATCTGCCTGCTGAATTGTTTCAAATTGGCTTGTCTTGTGTTGAATTTGTGCTTGGAATACTCTTGTTTGTCTATTTAATGTTGAGGATTTTGCTTCTCCTTTGAAATTTTTTGAAATTTCCATCCCTATACCTCCCAAATTCTTCTTCTGGTTTTTGGATTGCTCTCCCCTAAAACCCTAATCTTTCTTCAACCCTCTTTCTTCTTTGCGGCGGCTTCTTTTTGATATTGTTCTCTTTGTCTTTGTTTTGATTTTCTTTTCAGAGTCTGAGACCTCCTCTGATTCAGTTGAAATACTACCCTCTGCGCTCGAAGTTGTCCCTCTTTCTATCCTTCGCCCTGGCGAGACAGTCCCTACTCGTGTTTTTACGGCCCGCGTCGCTTCTTCAAACTCCGGAGATACCATGGATAATGTTCCTCTCTGCCATCGTCGACCTACCCTTGGCGCGTTGGACGAGCCAGAGGAGGACGAGGTTATTTCTCCACAGCCCACTGCTCCTCCCTCTTCGAGTTCTCCGTCCAAACGATCCTCGACCAAAAAACTTTCCAAGCGCTCTTCTTCTACTTCTCTTTCTCACCCTTGGTTCAACCCTGACAAAATCGGCCAACCTCTTGGTAAGGCGTTCCTCAGATCCTCTCCCTCTTATAAATTCGACCATCCTCCACAGGATTGTTACGCTTTCTTTGAAATCCAGTTCAAACTTGGTCTGCGTTTTCCTTTAAGCCCCGAAATACTCCGCATTTGCGAGTGGTTCTCCCTTCCTCTGCATCAACTCCCTCCTAATGCCATCCGCTTCATAACTACCTTTATCATTCTCTGCCGCATCCGTCTAGGTCGATTTGACCTAGACTTCTTCCATTACTGCTATGGCCCTTCCAAGCAGGGTCGAGGTCTCTACCTAAAAAGCCGCAACGGTGCCCACTTTATAAATGACATCCCCACCAATCTTCCCAAATGGATTGATAGATTTACCTTTGTTCGACCTGATGTCCCTTTCCCTTGGCCTTCAGTTCCCTGGGTCAAGGAAGTCTCGCGAGAGGCAGCCTCGGCACCCCCTACAAACCTTCTTTTCGACCAGCAGATTCACACTTGGAATTCCAAGTCTGTCGCGTCCGATACACTTCTCCAAGACGAGAACCTCCTCCATTTTTGTGGTCTTCTTACCCACAAAACTCTATCTCCCCCCACCGAGGAGATTCTCGACCTTGTTCGTATTGAAAATGATCCAGGTAATAATCGAGCAGATTAGTTGAATGCGCGTGCGTTTCCTCATTTTTATTCCGAGTGATTATTACTGATATCGAATATGATCTATATTGTGGTTTTTTCGCAGAGGTGCCCAGTTTCAACATCCCTCCGAGGAAAACTCCTCTGAAAAAGAAATCGGGAACTGTCGCTGGGTCGAGCAGCGACAAGGCCGATGGGTCGGCTAGCTCGGGTGGATCTCGACCAGAGCCGCCACAGCAATTGCCCCCGCGGCAAACTCCGCCGCCTCCTCTGCCACCGCCCAAGGAAACACAACAACGACCAGAGCAGCAGCCTCAACAGCCGCAACAACAGCAACAACAACGTCCGCTACAATCTCAG